CCAAAAGAAAACAGAAAAATCATTTAAAAAGAAAAAAAAAAACGACCTCAAAACGTGACCTGGGCTGGGTTTCCTCACCTGAGCATGCTCAGAAAGCCAGCACCTCGTTCCTGCAGCAGCCACCCAGACCCCTCGGTGTGTGGGCGAGTCCACGCACCCTCCGTCACCCCTCCCTGGGGTTAGGCATGGGGACAGGGAGCACAGGGAGATGGACCTTGGCAAAACTGAAGCAAAGTGTGGAGGAGGGAGCAAGCCCTTCCGCTCCTGCAGCGGCAGCCAGACCCAGACTGGCAGGCCCTCAGACCCAGACTGGCAGGCCCTTCTGCTCGTGCCTGACGTTCTCTTCCTTCTCTTTTTTGCTCTTCCTTCTGCTGCCTTTTCTTCTCCTTTCTCCCCTTCCTCCTCACTTTTCTCTCAGCAGTTTTGCCCAAAAACTTCAAGGTGAAGATGGTGACAAAGACATCTGTCCTTTTGAGCTGGGAGTTTCCTGAGAATTACAACTCTCCCACCCCATACAAGGCAAGTAGAGTGGAGGAATCAGAGCTGCGTTTCTTCCCAGTTTTGTGGGAGTCTTCTCTGTTGGTTTGAGTAAGAGGTTGTAAGAGGCAGGACTCTAGAATTCCTGCCTCAGATACAGGCAGGTCATGGCTAATCACTAGGTAAAGAAGGCGAGCTGAAAATCAGGGCTGTTGGGTTGCATTCCCACCTCTGTTACCAAATCGTTACCTCCCCGGGCAAGTTACCACGGTTTTCCCATTTCCAGATAGAAATACCTCTTCCAGAGAAGTCAAAAGGCTTTGGCTTGTGCTTGGGGACCCTCCTGTGCAGTGGCCACAAGAAACGGGCAACCTCCCCCTTCGGATGGTTCCTATTCCTGTGTTTGCTCCAGCCCTGGCAGAGCTGAGCGCCCCGTGTTCTCCGCAACCCACAGCGGCGGGGAGGGAGGATTTGGTTTGCTCGAGCAGCATCAGCTTTGCTTGTGGTGTGATTTTGCTGCCTCTTCGCCTCCCACAGATCCAGTACAATGGGCTGAACGTCGATGTGGATGGCCGCACCACCAAGAAACTCATCACCAACCTGAAGCCCAGCACGTTCTACAACTTTGTTCTCATGAACCGAGGCAATAGCATGGGGGGCTTGCAGCAGAACGTCGCCGCCTGGACCGCTGCCGACATGTTATCAAAGAAGCCCGAGGTGACCCACAAGCCTGACGCCGACGGCAACGTGGTGGTGATTCTCCCAGATGTGAAGAGCTCTGTGCCTGTCCAGTAGGTTTCTGTTAACCTGCAGATGTGGGGGGCTCAGTTTATGTTGTGGGGGTCAGCCCTGGTGGCTGGAGTCCTCAGTCCAAACCCCCAAGGGCAGGGGGTGCGTTCCCTGCGGTTTTAGCCTTGGTTACTGGGGTCTTTTTGTTGCTGCTTCCCAGAACTAACGGGGAGCGCTAAAGAAATGCAAAGGGATTAAGTCAGGAGACGTGTTGTATGGGGCTGCCGCTGAATCCAGGCTCATTCCAGGAGCAGCAATGACAGCTGTGCTATATTAAAAATAAGGAATTTCCTGGGTTGGGCCAGTCAGGCTGTTTGGGCAGATGTAGCCGTCCACATCGGTGTGTGCACCCTCTTCTTCTGCAGCTTGTAAAAGGAGATTAATTCCTTCTGTTTCTGGTTATTCCCAATTCCTAGGGCTTACTACATTGTGGTGGTGCCTCTAAGGAAGTCCCGAGGAGGACAGTTCCTCAACCCCTTGGGCAGCCCCGAGGAGATGGACCTGGAGGAGGTGAGTGAGGCTCAGCCTGCAGCCAGCTGCAGGGAGAGAGCAAACAGCTGTGACGGAGGGGCTGGTGACCTGAGAGCCAGGTTTGGGGGTATTTGTGCTCCACGTTCTGAGTAGCTAAGGTGTAGCCAGTCCGAGTGGGATGGGTTGGGTCTCCTTCCTTCCTGCTCCCTTGACGGTGCTGAAGGCATCAGGGCTCAGAGTGTTCCTTTGCATCCTCCAGCTCATTCAGGACATTGCCAGGCTGCGACGCCGAAGCCTGCGTCACTCGCGACAGCTGGACTTCCCCAAGCCCTACATCGCTGCCCGGTTCCGCTCCCTCCCCTCGCACTTCATCTTGGGGGACATGAAGCACTACGACAACTTCGAGAACAGAGCCCTGGAGCCAGGGCAGAGATACGTCATCTTCATCCTGGCAGTGCTCCAGGAACCCGAGGCCGTAAGTGCTGCCTGCTTTCTCGTGCCCTCTTCAGACGCTTGTGCCCCGCTGTCCCACCCGCCAGCGCCTCCCTCGAGAGCTGCCACAACCCCGGTGCCCTCCAGGCATTGCCCATAACTCTCCCACCAGATGCCAGAGCTTGAGGGTTGGGGGGTTTTTTTTGTAAAGACCTTCCTGTCCAGCTGTGGAGCTTTTGCATGTGGCAGCTGGAGCTGTTTGCGCTGGATTTTAGCCACTGTGCTCCTGCAAGCAGACAATCTAATGACGCAAGCGTTTGCGCACTGCTTCTGCCTTTTGCTGGTCTTCAGAGGTGGGACTTGTTACACTTGGGGCTCCAAGCTTGAGCCCGGAATGAACTGTCCACTCAGGACTGCACTGGAGTTCAGAGATCCCTAGGTCAAACCCCTTTACAAACAGTAATTTTGTGTAAAGGCTGTGCTTGCCTGCCTTAGAGCAATGACCCTAGACCCTGCTTTGAGAGCAGCACGTCACATGCCCTGGTCATTACCAGGTTCCCCACCAAGCAGAGAGGGAGGTGTTTTTAATGGAAAACTACCACTTCAGCACCTCTGCTGATTTCTCTGGTGCCGTGGTTGGCTTTGTGAAAACAATTGTTTTAATATTTACCTGCCTCCTCCCTCATGCACAATAGGAAGCAGCCTAATACTTTGTTGTTTTTAAATCCCCCTATGGAATTGTAGCAGGGAGCTATTTGAAATTAAGGGTTTTCAGAGTTGTTGTTGTTTTTTCCCCCAAATAAATATTTAGTTGTGTATTCGATATTAAAGGATTAGGCTGACACGGTTCTGAATGGGTTTCTCAATCGGATTACTGCAGCTTGTGGTAATTTCTGGTTCAGAACAAGGTGCTGCATACTCACTCACAGCAGCCTGGGTTCCCAGGCATGTCGCAGTATTTGTCTGGCTCAGAGCTGATGGAGCTCAAGGACCCAGATCTCCTGTTCTTGTCCTGTCCCTGACTTTCCACCCAAACCAGGCCATGCCAGTGCTCCTCTGAGCGTTGTAGTTTTTCTGGTTTCTGTCAGATGGGAGTGCATCCTTCTAGGGAGGAGGAGGTTGTAGTACTCCTGAGAACAAGCAGGCAGTGCCCATCAGTTCGAACCCTGATGGGTTTGAACGTGCCTCTGATTCTCCCCAAGAGCCCAGCGCACTACAGAGGCAGTACAGGAGACATATTGCATTTTATTAATTTATATTTAATTGTAAGGGTTAGATTTTTTTCTGTCACCAGACCAGACTGTTTCTAAGCATTAATTCCTGTTTTAAACCCTTCCCTCTTTCTCTGTAATCCCATCTGACTGTCAAAATCCAGATGGTTACATGAGAGCTTGGGAAAAAAGTGTTTGTGTGCTCGTGGCAGCAGAGAGGGCTCAGGGATGTGGCGGAGCAGAGGCACAGTCAGCTGGTTGTCCAAAAGCACCTTCCTGGCTGCAGGATTAGGTGAGCCAGAGGCACGAGGAAGCCTACAGCTCCGTGTGAACGTCATCTTTGAATGGTCTGTCTTGCCTGGAGCAATGAAGGAGGAAGATAACCTGTCTTGGATGCTGACAGACAAGAGTTTTCCTCTGTAGGTTGAAGAGGGCATTTTCTCTGTTGTTAATATTCGGGTTGCGCTGCAGAGAGCCCACATCCTCTCTCGCGGTTTCTTTTGAGGAGCACCCTATGCTTGCCCAGTGTTTCCATTCCATTTCTGAACTGCACTCCCCAATCTTTCCTATCTTCCAGACTTTTGCCGCTAGTCCCTTCTCCGACCCCATCCAGCTGGACAACCCCGACCCGCAGCCGATCATCGATGGAGAGGAAGGACTGATCTGGGTCATCGGGCCCGTCCTGGCTGTGGTGTTCATCATCTGCATTGTCATTGCCATTCTGCTCTACAAAAAGTAAGAGATGCTTCTTGCCTAGATCTGCGACCGTTGTGAAGGTCCCCAGCTCTAGCCCCTAAAGGGAATTTCCTCCTCGGTCTCAGAGCTGTCAGCTGAGGGCAAATCCTCCCACCAGCACCAGAAAGAGGCACAAATGCTGAAATGAAAGGGTCTGGCCAGCACAGGAGAGGGCAGCAGGGGGTTGCTGCTTCAGGGCACTCTCAATAAAGCCACACTTGTCTCATGGACAATCTGCTGTGGCACGTGCAGTGAGTTTTTCACGCCTCTTGCCTGTCTCCTCCAGAAGAGCCGCTCACAGCCTCGGGCTTCCCTTTCTGTTCTGTGTGTGTGTGTGCGCACAGTGGGGGTGCTGCAGAGAACGCACCTTTGTGCTGAGAATCAGCAGAGACCTCCATTGTTCCCAGAATGGTTTTCAGCTGGAGTTTCAGCTGGAGAGCAAGGGCAGAATGTGAGTCTGCAGGAGAGAGGAGGGAACAATCCCTGGAAATCTCTCCCTTTTCCTTGGCTTTCTGAGCAGCTCGTGGTGCGTGCATGGAAATAGGAGCCCCTTGAGCCCTGCATTGAAAGAGGAGGAGCAGATGTTGAGCAAAATAGATGAAGAAAAGGGGCAGGATGGCAGCTGTGGCCAGTGCAGGGGTGTCCCTAGCTGGGGCATCCAGCACACAGTGGATGGAGCTCTCTTAACCCTGCTCCATCTTTATTTTACAGAGGTGTGTTTGCTTGTGCACCTGGCTGTGGTGTTTGCATCCCAGCATGTGTGAAGCTGCTGGACACACAAGTGCTCTGGGGCCAGGGGCTCAGGTGGTCCTCGTTGGTGTTCGTTAGCACTGATCTAATCGTTGCTGGTCTCAGCTTCCACCTGGGTTCGAACTCAGCAAATGTTTCCCCTTTCCTCTGCACGTCCTTTCTAACCTGAACATTTGTCTTGTCTTCTCTCCACTTACTGCTTTCCTGGACAGCAAGCCAGACAGGTAAGAGAACCAGATTTGCCATTTGCTTAGGTTCTTTCTTGCTGTATTGAGGCAGTGTGTAGTCTCTGGTGATGGGGCTTTGTTGGTGCAGTTGTTACTCTTAGACCTGTCCTGACAAAATCCCTGTGTCAGACTAGCACGGGACCGTGTTTGAACCAGGGCAGAAGAAGCAAAGAAAGCCCAGCTTGCTCCTGCTTGTCCATTCCTAAATATTATGCCCCTTTCTCAAGCTGAGTAGCGGCGACAGTAAACGGCTCATAAAACTTTGGGTTAATGGAGCAGAGAAACGCCCATTTGTGTTGCAGAGGTGGAAGCAGGTTTTCTCCGTGTCTGGCTGCTCCACGCTGGCTGTCCCTGAGCCCCTGGGTACTGGAAGCAGAATCTCGCCAGCTGAGCTGTCCTCACCGCTTGGAAAAGCTGTTCTTGCCCCATCAGCCAGGAGCTTCTAATAGTTCCTTTATGACTGCAGAAATGAGACTTACTTGAAACCATTTCCAAGGCTGGGAGAGCTTTCACTGGAAGTAACTGATGGGTTTAGCCAATGAACTCTTAACAGCAGTTTCAGAACTGCGGCAAAAATAAACGGCTCCCAAACTGCAACGTGCTGTAGTTCCAAAAACGCTGCCCCATGCAGTGCTGGGAGCGCTTGTGCCACTTCTTGTAGCTATTAATGATGTTTAAGAGGCAGCTAAAAGCACCCTGACTAACCTCCTCTCAGCAGAAGTAATTGCCATTATTGCTACAGACGTATTATTGGATTATATTGCATATTTTGGGCAACCCAAGCAGGAGAGGTGAGGAGCTCTACGGCCATCTTGCTGGCAGGGCCAGGACCACGTTTGGAAGCCTCGGGGTGTGGGTGCACATTCTTTCCCTGCTGGAGAAGTTCTGCTCCCAGCAGCTCCTCGCTGTTCCCTTGCCAGAGGTTATCACATCTTTCGATCAGCGCTGGGCTTCGCTTCCAAATTCTTTTCAAGGAGAATGAGCCAGGTCAGCAAAGACTTTTCAACTGCCTCAGCTAACCTAACCCATTTTGAGCAAAATATATTAGGAAGCACTTGCAGGGGCAGCTCGGCTGGCAGGTTGGAGCGGGCTGCAGCTTCTGGCAAGGAGGTGAGACAGATCTCAGCAGGCACAGCTGTGATGGGAGAGGATGTGTCTACACTGTTCTTTGAACCCGGATTTTTAGGGTTCTGCAGATGAAAAAAAGTTGAAAGCCGCTGCTCTGACTTCTCTGTCTGCAGCAAGAAGCTGAGAGCTCCTAAACACGCCCGCAGAGCAACATCAGTACTTCACATCCAAGGTCACGGCCAGGAGATTCTGTACTTTTCCAAATGATTCTGTTGGCTCTGGTTCTTTTAGGCTGAAAATGGCTTGGCCGGAGTTGGAAGGTTTCTGCTTGTGGAGCTCTGCAGAGCTCAGTGGAGGCTTGTCTGTGCAGGGAGGCTGAGGTGTGAGTTCACGGCAGCCCAGCTGCTGCTTGCAGCTCTCGGTGCTTCTGCCGGGAGAAGGGGGAACTTCCAGACTTGTCTGAAAGCTGCTGAGGGGCTGCTGGGCTGTTGTAAACCCATCAAATTCAGCACCTTCCAAACCTTCACCCCTTCCCTCACACATTTTATGTAACTTACATCCTTGGCTGCGTCTGCCCCTGATTTTGGTGGGAGTTGTGCTCAGGTCTGCACGTGGCTGGAGTAGCTGGAGATGTGAAAAGGCCCGTAAGCTAAGCTGCTTTGTCTTTTTGTTTTTGTTTTCTTTGTTTTTGTTGTGTTCTGGTTTGTTTTTTTTAAACAAAGCAAACGGAAAGATTCAGAGCCACGGACAAAATGCCTCTTGAACAATGCTGAAATCACCCCTCACCACCCTAAGGACCCCGTGGAAATGAGACGCATCAACTTCCAGACTCCAGGTAACGGGCTGCAAACCAGCCTTTCGCACTGCGGAGGCAGGAGCGGAGCGAATTCTTCCCTGAGCCCCCGTACTCCCACGTGAAGGCTGCTGCGGGGCCACCTTCGAGCCCCAGCTCTAGCCTAGGATGC